CATTTCAGCTTTAAGATGAAAGTTATGGCGATTTGAAAGCTTGCGAAACAGTTGCAGAAGACGCCGTTCTGTTCAGGTGAGTCAACTTTTCATGGCTAATATTTACGCTCTTTACTGCGCAGTAAAATTTGTGTTGCTCAGAAAAGGGAGGGTAATGTGTGATATTTTCAAAGAAACTGTTTTATTTTTAAAGTGAAGATACTTAAGGAAGTCAGGTTTTCATAAATTTTATTAATTCTTCTTGAAATTCGATTTGTTTGGAATAACGGAGGCCAGAACCATTCACTAAGTATCGATGTCAGGTGCCCAGTATCCGGACAGTTTTTTCTTTGCTGTACAGAATCGATGAATTAGCTGTGTACATTATCCGGATAACATTTATTTCATATCAGTAACTATAATTAAAGCTTAGGATATATGATATAGTCGTAAAATGTAATTCTACTCAACTCCGTATGGAAATTTTCTTCACTCATTCAGAGGCGACTTGATTTGGTGTGCACGGCTTGTTTCGCGTGACTGCATTTTCTATATATAACCGAAAGCGTCTGAGTTGAACCTGGAATTCTCATACTCTCCCTAGTTGTGACTGCTAGAATGGGGTTGCAACGGTCTGAAATATGTCACAAAGGGATTGAGAGATGTGAAAGAAGGAGGAATTAGAGCTAGAAAAGCAGGCTTATTGTGGGGACTGAGCATGAAGACAGATGAAGAAATCAACACTGCAGGTCAGACTAAATGGGAGAGTGACCTTTGATCGTCGGATTGAGGTCCCTTCCCCAAGCTTTTTTTAAAATAAAAAATGAAGAAAAAAGTCGTTTGCAGATTGGCTAATTGAGCTTGCAAACTGCGGCTTCGGCATGTCGACGGATGCCTCCCTTTAATCAGTGAAAAAGTTCCTAGACAAGGAAGTGAAAATTATGCCATTTTCAAAACAGCAGCTCGCGTTTCCTACCATACCCCAGTCATTTGTTCTGTTTTATTTCACGATGCTGGGTTATATTTTTGGAATCGATTGCCAGACTACTTTGCATGTGCAAGAGAAGCTTATAAGTCGCTGGCCTGTCGAAATTTATGTACAATTACGTTGTTATTGTTGTGTCCGGATACTAGGCCAGCTGTCCGGATACTCGGCAACATAGGAGCTCTGCAAAAATATTAATTTCGCGATGGAAACAAAGGCAAAAAAGTTTAACTGTCTTTCGTCATACTAAGGACTAGATAGATTTTCTCTGGGCCAAATTTCAGAGCTCTTGCAATTAACAAAGGAAAGTTACTGCAATCTTAAACTTAAGTGTCCGGATACTGGGCAACATACTGTAGAGTTTTTTTGAAACATGCGCAAAACAAACCCGTTCGAACCATGCACGGCGGCGCTCTCTGACCAATTTCTGACCAATCATACTAACTCATTATAGTTTATGAGAGGAGTATGAACTATGAGACAAAACATATAACATAACAAACGGGGAGCGGGATCGAATTACTCACTTGATTTTCAATTCTCTGAATAATAAACTGATTTTGCATAACCTCTGATAGACTCCGGAATGAGAATCGCCCCTTGCATTTTATGTTCCCCAAACAGGAGGAGGTTGTACATAATTATAATCTTAGATCTGGCATTAGCCGCTCCATGCGTCCTACCTGTAGGACCAAGCGAACGCAAGAGTTTGTCACACATAAGTATACCTAGTGGCTTGTACAATTATATTTTCTAGTATTTATTGGATTTATTGTATTATATTTTAGTATTTATATGTTTTGTAAATAGCTCTGTAATTCAGCCATTCTGTATATTGCTGCAATGAGTCTTGATAAACAGTCTTTATTATTATTATAAACGGATGTTTCCGTGAAAGGGGCAGCGGGGAATTAACGAGTACGGGGAACGGGAAAATGAAAAATGGAAACAAAACAGAGAATTGGAAATGAAGTGACTAATTCCCTCGATCCCGCTCCTCGTTCCCCGTTTTAGTAACATCCCATAACAAACATAAACAATTACCCTGGCAAAGGAATCAAATCACGATACTAATAGGATCAATTATTTTCGCTGAAAACTTCCGATTTTTGGAGCCAGCCGTTCAGCAAATAGCAATAGGCTCGAGAAATGGGCCCTATTTTTAATCTAGATCTTTGTAACATTTAAAAGTTTAATCAAAATCCCAAAATTTAAGCAACACAATAATGTTATAATTTTATCACCTGAAGACTAGGAGCTGTTGTACTTTCGCGGGTCGATAGTTAGCTTAGTTGTAAAATATTTAAGTTGTCTTTAAAATAGCTTGTTTATTAATTAATTCATTGTAAAAGTAACTGGAAACAAAATATACTTCCTTCTCAACCTGGGCCTCCCTTTGTCAATAAAAGTATTATTTACAGCGTATTAGTTTTCACTAAAGTTTTCTTATGTAAAGTATTACAGCTTATTTCTTTACCTATGTAAAATATTATTAGTTTCAGTATTTCATCTTTTCGAACTCAAGAAAACAGCGACCGTGCAATTAAAACAGTCATAAACTTCCTTCTCGGCTGGGATTTGTATTACTGAATTCGATATAATAATATTGGGCAATAAAAGCATTAATTACTTAAAGCCAACACCCGTCTCAGAAAGAAAAATTGTGGCCTTAAACACAAAGCGCCACCAGCTGATTAGAGAAGAGCCGGATGTCCGACGCTTCATTTAGTAAAAATAAAACATGAAATACTTTAAAGAACAGATCACTACAAAATAGAGCACCATTAGCCACCATTGTATCCAGGCGCGGATTTAAAAAATATTTAGATAGACAGGGTCTATAAACTCTTAAGTCACCTAATAAAGAATTGGGTTGCAGGGAAATAGATAAACTACTTTTGTTCCTTTCCGTCATGTAAATAAATAAATAATTCCTTTGTTTACCTTCGCCAGATTTTACAGCACTTATGCTAGTGGGGCCGAGTAAATAATTAGCTAAAACAAATCATTCAAATCAAACGTAACAGGGTTAAGAATCGCAACTGGCCGGAGTCAGACCAGCTGGCTATTTACAAGCGTGGTCGGGACTACCGAGAACAAATCGAGCTATCGGTCAGGGCGGGACATGCACTTGGCCACGCTGCCTTATAACTCAGTTACGAGTGTAATTGTAAAATGGTCTGACCCGTCACAAATTGTTGAATCAATCGAGCTGTAAGGCCCTCATGTTTACAANATGTAAATAAATAAATAAATAATTCCTTTGTTTACCTTCGCCAGATTTTACAGCACTTATGCTAGTGGGCCGAGTAAATAATTAGCTAAAACAAATCATTCAAATCAAACGTAACAGGGTTAAGAATCGCAACTGGCCGGAGTCAGACCAGCTGGCTATTTACAAGCGTGGTCGGGACTACCGAGAACAAATCCAGCTATCGGTCAGGGCGGGACATGCACTTGGCCACGCTGCCTTATAACTCAGTTACGAGTGTAATTGTAAAATGGTCTGACCCGTCACAAATTGTTGAATCAATCGAGCTGTAAGGCCCTCATGTTTACAAAAAAAAAAACCTAAATAAATGTGGAATCATAATTTCAATTTTTGTTTCTTTCCCTTGCCTTAAATTCTTTGTACAGTCAAGTTACTGTTAAAGCGAAGCACAAACGTTAACCTTTATCTCCGGTTGTAGGATAAATCCCTGAAGGATTTTTTCAATAGGCCAGACGATATGCTATTCGTACTATGCTCGGTCATTATTGATCAGCATTTCAGTAGATTCGATCTTCCTTCTGGGGACGATCTGTCTACTTAAACTTGGAAAACTGAACTTAATAAAATGAAGTACCGAGAATAATGGACACCGCTCCAACAATTTTAAGGGAAACTAAGTAGAAAAAAAGACTTTGAGTTCTTAGCAATTCATCTAATGGGAACTGTTTGATGTTCAAATTTTAAACTTTTTTGAATTTTTTTTTCCCTTCGGATGCTAGTTTTGAGTTAATTAGACTAACTGTAAAAAGGATTTCAATTAAATTTCCTCTACATTTTACAATGTCAGAAAACGATCGAAGAAAGATAAGCCGAAAAGTACTGAATGACTGGTTTATTCTTATATTTACAATCTATCAGTCTACAGCATATTTGTCTATGTTTATGAGTAACAAATTTACATCAAATGGGGTCCTTTCCAACCGATGACGATGATATCTCTCTCGAATACATACACAGCATATTACATAGCAGACATAGCAAACGCATCAAAAACTCGAAATTCAGAAATTTTGCTGCATGCCTGTTAAATAACCATGATTAATTTTACACGATTTCAGTCATACAGTTTACTAGTGATGACTGTTTTTCAGTTGCCTTGAACACGCAGTGTTCTAAAATAAGCGATTCTTGTGGCCTGCCTGAGTACTTGCGCCGGGTGAGTTTCATAACCATTTGTAATCTTGCTGTTCACACAGAAACCACGGTCAAAATTTTTTTCTGTCGTTCCGGTCCTGGGTTAACTGAATTTTTGTCACTGATTAGCTAATGTATCTTTTTCAATTTCCATTTAAAATGGAAAGCAAGAAGAAAACAGTTCTGACAGCGTTAAATTGGTATATTTCCGCATGAATATGTTTTATAAGAATTTCCGTTCCTCGACTCCTCGAAAAAGGGCGTCTTCTTTAAATGCGATCTGGACCAAGAGAGTCATTCACCACTCAAAACATGGCGTGGTTTTCCTTTTCCGTCGGTGAGTGCGAAGTTATTTCACCTTTTGAAAACTGACGTTTTGCCATTTTCAAACCCCGACAAGTGCCATTTCCTATCCCTATTTTTCACCTTTTGGTATGCGACTGAATAATAAGACTCGAGAAGATTGTGCTGCAATATGGTCTCATGTTTGGAATCGATCGCGTGCCAAATCGCACATTTCAATGAACCGACCGGCTCAAATACCTCTTACATTATAACTCCTATCAAGTGAAGTCAAAGTATGAGTCAGTCCATGCAGTTCACTTTGTTAAGGCAAAGACCTATGACTGATTAACCACAAAAGCCGTAATTAGACGACAACGGATATAGAGACATGTTTGAATAGACTACTTGAAGGTTTTTTGAAGGTTGGAAAATGGGAATAGGATTATAATAAACCTGCAATGGAGGTACATGAGTGTTAACTTCTCCACAGCAAGAAAAATGAGTACGCAGGTGATTAAAAATGGCCGATAAATTCTTTTCCTCCCAACGAAAATTGGTCTCAAAGTCCGGCGCCATTTGCTTCTTCCACTTCGTTCGCCGATTTTGAAACCATGTTTTAACTTGCGTGTCAGTGAGATTAAGGCCTTTAGCCAAATTGTTTCTCTCTGTGATTGTTAAATATTTCTTGTCATGAAACTTTTGCTCCAAAGACTTCAGCTGGTTGCTTGTAAAAGCGGTTCTTCTCCTTCGTATCTTGTTAATGTAAACATTACCACGGCGCAAGGATCCTGTTTCATTTTCTCCAGCATCGTCAAGACTTTCGTTTGATGAATTATCAGCTTCGTTTTCTTCTTCTGAGGTACAGGCTAAGTTGTCTTCTGAAAGCAAAAGCGTAAACGGTCCTGTAGATTTATCAGTCTGACAAAATGAGTAATCCCTTGAAGATCTTAGATAGCTCATTATCTCTTGTTAGATAGTGAATAACGGCAAGGAAAGGAGTTAAAAAACACTAACCTTTTCCCGTCTTCTTTCTTGATATATCAGCTTTTTGTGAGGCTGAAAAATTTGATGAGTTTTCACTTTTTTGCCCAGCGCTTCCCAAAATTGAGTCAATACTAAACGACGCCATCCACTTAAATCAACTTCGTGCGAAAGAACAGAAGGAAGGTATGTCAAACATCGACTTGCGCCCCAGCCAAAGGTAATAAAATCAACAACTATCCAGAGCTGCTAAATATTGTTCTACTAATATCCGGACACGATTAATCTCTTTGACAGCCTCTAAGTATTGTCTGATAACCTTCGTATGTTTCCACTTAAAGAAACAAAGCGCCGGTAAACGTTTGGAGGTAATCTTAAACAGAGACGCACAGTTGGAGTGTGACAGGTAGCTAAATATATCATCAACTGCTTGGGTGGAAAAAGCTCAAGATCCTAAAGATGATAGTGCAGTCAGTATTCTCAGCAGTGAGCTGATGCCGGTGAGAATACACCAGACTTCCTGCTAGGAATGATGACGCTCATATTATTGTGAAATTGCGTCTACTAGATTTTTTTACATATTTAAACGAGGTCATAAGTGCAGACGGTAAAAGAGTTTTATTGTGCTTTGGTGGAGCATTTGAATGTGTTGAGACTTCGTACTAATTCAAGAAATGTCAAGCTTATTAGACCTGACAATTGCCTAATTAGCGACATCCTGCGCAAAGCCACCAAATAAAAAGCCAAATAGCGATAAATTTTCTAAATATTAAACCTCCAAAAAGGGAGGAAGGAGGAGAAAACAAAGGAGAGGGCACCTTGCATGATTTTACAAAACTTGTTGGCTAGTTGTTGCAAAGGAAATGTAGAGTATTGCATGGAACTTTTAAATAAGGCAAGAATCGTATTTTGCTATGGAAAGATAACCTGAAATAATAATACTATATCAGTACTAGGCATATGAGCTTCAATGAAAACTGTACATGTCCACAAAGAAGACGGAAATAGCAGGGCGTCCACAGTTCCATCCGGTCCTAGTCTTTTAGGGGGAGGGGGAGGGGGAGAAGTCTCATGTGAAAGAGACAAGGATACTAGTTGTCTCGTTTAGCGTAACGAAATTGCAGGTTTTGTTCTCTCTTCAAGGCTGAATCGAAAGCCAATACCTTGGGTATTCAGGGATTGCGCGAAATTACAAATTACTGTATGAANGCGTCCACAGTTCCATCCGGTCCTAGTCTTTTAGGGGGAGGGGGAGGGGGAGAAGTCTCATGTGAAAGAGACAAGGATACTAGTTGTCTCGTTTAGCGTAACGAAATTGCAGGTTTTGTTCTCTCTTCAAGGCTGAATCGAAAGCCAATACCTTGGGTATTCAGGGATTGCGCGAAATTACAAATTACTGTATGAAAGAAACCAATCGCTGTGGGGGCCAGCTGTGTCGGTATTTGATGGCAGCATCCTAAGCGCTTTCAAAATTATCGTGGTTATTTTTTGGTTGTGTATTTTAGTACGGTCGTTCAGTGTAGCCGGATCAAATATAGCCTCCGCCACGCCTAGTTCAGTAGTCCTTTACTGCGGGGTTTAGTTCTAAAAGTTCCGACTAGAATCCCAGTTCCCGGTTCAAAAGGGAGTCCTCCCCCTCGGATTTGCCAGGTGGTGGGGGAGTGGGTAGAGGGTAACACAAAGCGAAAAGCAAAGACATGATCCAGTCCAGCTCCCTTGCAGTTCTTTTTCCGTCCCCATCTTTTTTATGCTTTGTTTTTTCTGTCCCATTCTCTTGATCGCACGGTCCCCGCTACCGTAACGCATGTAACATCCTACTATTCCACCAGGTACATTCCAGGGCATCATAGTGCCGCAGCTGGAGCTGATTACTATTTAAAAATAAATTTTAACTGGAAAGGGTTGACTCAAAGTTGCTGGAGGCTCCCAGTAATCGACTCTTGAGTGCCGTCGGAATATGGCCTTTTCTGATGGTAACATGATGGGCTCATCATGACCATCTCTCTCAAAAACTCAACATTTTAAGTCTATGGACGAAAGACTTTGGTGTTACCATTCAAATGAAACCTAGTCTGAGGCCCTTTGTAACGGTGACATTTACTTTCCACTTATTTACAAAAAGAAATTTGTGATTTCTTTTGATTTATGATCTTTTGGAACTCTTGCAAACTAAAGCTTAAGCAGGTTAAAGGGTTAGCTAAATAATCTGATAGATATAAAGACGGCGCCGTCATCCACTCCACACGAGGGGCGGCTACCACTGTTAAGATGACGAATGATGTGGCACCTTTTACAAAAGAAAATCCCCCCACGAAGAATTAATTTACGGATGATCTTAAAACTATTAAATGTCCGAAAAAATTGCCTTGCACACGTAGTCGATTGAACTTTCACATTTTTGTGGTCATTACAAGATCATTAGAGGTGCCTCCATGTATGAAATGACTAAAGTCTGGTTCTATGAAGATTTCAAATGATTTGAAAGATATCACAGCTTTACAGCGCTGATTTTTTGCATGTTAACTGTGGAAAGGGGGATTATTATTATTATTATCGTATTACACAAGTAACGTAAAGTAAAATATTTTTGTTTAAGATGGACTAGGGACTTTCTCAATGTTTTAATAAGACACAATAGCGGTTAAATGACCATTTTAAAAAGAAAAGAGTTTTATACGCACTTCAAAAGCTAACGCTCTTTGTCGAAATAAAGTTATTTTTCGTGCAATAGGGCGCGACAGTGAGGCCACCAAATGTATTACCTTTCTTACTAAGTAATCCATCATAAGAGTTATTATCCCTTAACTTCCTAATCAGTAACTTTATTGGATAAGCATTATAAGGCTGAAGGCTATAGTTTATGTGTGTTAATTATCTTTAAGTTGTCTTCTCTTTCAGTGAGTTCTTATCAATAGTTAGAGTTATTCAGCTAGTTCACAAAATTCATTTGCGCAAGGAAATTTTCCAAATCAATAGGGAAACGTGGTTTGTAATGTTATCTTATTGTGAGTAGTTTGTTTAATCTCGAGCATTTGTTTACAAACGTTTATTACCCTGTGGTAAGTGGTTTTCCTGATTTATTTAAAATATACTTATAGGACAGTAAACGGTATTTGGCTGCGGCTGAAACGAGTAGCGGGCGTTACACGCAAATCCGGTCTTATTGCAAAGCTGCTTCTTGAATGAACATTAGGAAGATGTTAGATCGTGAAAATTGTCCCGTTTCATCCCACATTATTGAAAGCTCTTCAAGGGTCAGGAAAAAACGATTAAAAATAGAATTGAACTGAATGAGTAGAATAATTCAAATACCAAGCATAAAAAAATGTTCAGAGAGCGAATATGGAACTCACGCTTCTCGTTGGCTTCAAAAGAACACTGAGGGATGTTCGTTATACTAGATCAAACAGGGTGTTTCTAAGATTTCAATAATACTCACTCACAGTTAATGTGAAGGGAAATAAGCAAATGGCTCATAAGTAAATATAGCAGTAATTAGACTTATTATCGGATTTTCCGTTCCTGATGATCTTATTGCAGAAGTTAATAATAACAGACTAAAAGCAACAAAAAGTTGTAATTGATAAACAGCAATCAACTCCACCAACGACAATCAAACACACACAAAACTTTTGTAACAATTCTTGCAAGGGTTCCCTCATTTCACTGTTACTGACTCAGCGGGCATAACAAAATAGATAGTGGTGGTCATGTAAATCTCCTTATAGGGTCATATGACCCTTGGACGCGCCCAGTCCTACGCCTTACACAGTAGCCCGCGTTCTGGGTTCAACCCCATGTCAAACATGTAAAACCCTGATTGAACATAAGGGAAATATTTTAAATGAATAATAATTAACAATTATTCCACGAGGCCGAAGGCCAAATGGGCTATTGACTCAGAGCCCATGAGGGCGAGAGAAATGATTGTTTTTAGTAAAAACCAACAAGTTGGTCAAAAATATTGAGACAAAACAACTTTCGCTAGCAAAACGCGATTCAGCCGCCATGGTTTTGGTTTCAAAGCCGGCGCTTTTCGCTACTAGTAGGCTGTTACATATGGCCTAGTGGTAGCTCAACCAGTCAGAACGCAGCATTGTTAACAGACCACTAGTTGGATTTCACTAACATATTTTATTTTATATAATTCTATTTTAATTGTTTTGTTTTGTTTTTATAACTGTATGTTTTTTATTATCGTTTATAGAGGGAACGGCGAGAACGGACCCTGCGTCCAGCGGTCGCTGGAGCGCGGGTGGTCTTTTATGAGAACACTCGGCCACAAAAAAACGTGAAAACAGGGCCTTGGCTGAGGACATTTTGGCATTTTGAATAGGTGCTACCCTGCCTAAGACACAGAGCTAAATCAGCTTATGAAGGTTCTCAGTTGCAGCTGTAGCAACGGCAGGGTCTGTTCATAGAAGTCCCGGGAATGGATTTTAAAAAAAAATACGTGTTGCCACTGGAAAACTGAAGTCTCGGCGTAAATTTGTCGTTCAAAACATTGTTCCAGAGTTGGCGTGTCCGTTCCAGTGACTTGAGGCACCCAATTTATATTGGTCTCATTCATGGATGACGGATGTTCAAACCGCTGTTTACTTGAGGTGTTTAATCTGCTTTCTATGAATTTGTTCTATGTAACCGAAAATAACTGTTTCTGATCTAAACAGATAATGGGGATAAGTAAGAGATGGTGCGAACATAGACATCTTTCAGGTAAGCACAGAAGCACTTCTTATTATTCTTGTCTGAGACAAACATCTTTCGGCGACATTAAGACTGAAACGCTGTCAGCTTGGCTGCCACAGAAACTCACCCTTTCGCAGCTGCTTTCGTGTCCTATTAATCCAGTCTTTTATGGATAGACACAAATACTAAGCTTCTATAACAACGCAATGAGGTGGTATACAAACCAGCACCCTGTAAACACCCATGGCTTCAGCGAACCACAGATACCGGAGTTCCTTTCAGTCTAAATTTGACGTTCTTTTTAACACACAAATACTTGCAGTGAGGGTGCATCTATGACATTTATTAGAAGCAGATATGAAGGCGAAGAACTGTGTTCAGTAATGAACAGAAATCTGTGTTCGCTTCAAGTCTGGAGGAGTAGCAGACCATGTTTTCTGCAGTTTCGGTCAGTTCGGG